TAGACCTGTCTTGTTTATCTTAACCAGGTGAAATTGACAGAAATTCTGCCACTTTTCCTTTCTAACACAAGGGACAGGAAAAATGGTGTGGTGTTCTTTGTGCTTGCTTAATCTCCTCTGGGTAGTAAAACAAAAACTGGTTGTTTTACCAGTCCAGGATGGGTAAAGAACTAGGAGAGATTAAGCAAGCACATAGACACTGTCGCAAGCTTAATTGGATTATAAATCCAATCAGTGCTGATCACCTTGAATGTAAGAGGAAGGAAATAATCCTGCAAGAAATCCCAAGCATATCTGTAAGACAATCAGATCTAGGAAGCCTTTTCTTTACTTGCCTTTTGGCAACTGGATGACTCACAAGCCCCTCTAATAACTCCTATTGAGAAGGCACAGTAGAAAACACACTGTACACAGCTAGTGAAAGGGGGGAAAATGTGTTGACAACTTCACTAATGGAAGTCACTCAAGAGGAGTGGTTAGATCCTGCATCTTTCCTCCTCTTTGCATCATTTTACTTAAACCAGGGTACCTCTTTGAGACATTGTTGATTAACTGCTCTTAAGAACAGCAAGCACGAACATGAAATGGGCAGAAGATAGGATTCTCCATGAGTAGAGGTTGCAGTTACAGACCCAAAGAAAGTGTTTGACATTCCAGGAGCTGAACTTAGCTTCACCAATTCATGGCCTCCTTAAATTTCAGAAGCATAACCTTCCTTGAAGTGTCCCTGCTGAATTGGCTTTTGCAGCCTAGATGAACCATCTGCCTCATCCTGATCAGCTGGATCCAGATCAGAAAAAAACAGCAAGGTATCAATGTCCAACCTCTGAGCTGACCTGAATCCCCAGCTCCAGGGCAATGGTGAATTGGTTAAACTAGCAAGAGTGCTAAACTGATCCATCCCAAATGCACTAATGAGCTCCTACTGATAAGGACTCTTTCCTTCCTTTTCTCCTGGGAACTTCTGAAGGCTCTGTCTACTGTCATTCCTAAAACAAAAAGGACTATGAGACAGAAAGATACCCACCCACCCCCTTTCCTGATCTATCTGTCTTTATATACAGACTGGCTTCTCAGACCTTTTGATTTCTTTTCCTTTTCTCCCCCAATGTATCCGCTACACACAGGCTGGCTTCTCAGTACCTTTTCCTTTGGTCAGGCTTTTAGACAGCTGAGT